ACCAGGTGTGCCAGAATGTGAAAATATGCATCTGCTGCCTGCCAACCCTGACTGGCTGGGCACAGGGCTCACAGGGAGCCTGCAGTGAGAAGCCCTTAGATGCTCAGACTCATGGAAAGACCGACCCTACCTGGATCCAGGCATGCTGCTGCCCAGCTGTGTGAGCTTGCTCTAGTGGCTCCCACTCTGCATCCCATCAATCTTATCTGCACAGTGGGCTCTGGAAGTTCTGGACCTCACAGAGCACTGGTGCGTGCAGAGCCCAGAGCAGAGTTCCAGGCATAGAGTGACCAGCACAAGTGAGGGTCACAAGGTGATGAGCTCCCTGTCCACAGCTTGCCAGACACAGCCTCCGGTGTGAGACAGCCCAGCCCCGGTAGCCAGGAAGTAAGGGGCCAGGGCAGCATCTGAAGTTGCAGAGATCCTCCCCTGCTTGGGGAGCTCAGGTTTTCAGTTTCTCTTTCCAGACTAGTGACTTCGAGCTGGGAAAGCAGCCCCTGAGCTGGAGCATCATTCTGAAAGTCCTCTGGGTCCCTTGGACTGGGACTCTTGAGCCCTACTTTTCCAGTAACCCCTTGGCTTGCCAGGTTCCTATGCAACCTTGACATTGCCCCTGGGACCTGTGCCTCCAGCCCAGGGAAGGAGTTCTTGTTTTTGCTGGTCTGGGTATAAATATGTTACTTTAGAAATGTATGGCCTGGAGCAAGCTTCTTAGCTCTGCTGTGCCTCAGTAGTCTTATCTGCAAGATGGGGTCATTCATTGAGTGCCTGCTGTGTTCAGGCACCCGAGACTCAGGAGGATTCAAGCAGACCTGGAGCAGAAAATGAATGTGCAGGATCATTCCGGGCTGTGGGGATTAACAGGCAGGGTGCTAATGGCTAGACTTTTGGGGGCTAAGAGAACACAGGCAGGGAGAAGGGCACTGGGGACAGTGGCCTGGTGTTGGGATCTTTCTAAAAGAGAAAAGACCCTGTTGGAAATGTGCTATGGTAGGGTAATTGGCAGGCTTAGGTGTCAGAAAGGAGATGGGTGTCATGGGTGTAGAGAGCAAGGGGTGAGTTTGGGGCATGGTATGGGGTTGGCAGAGTCTGGTCCCTGAAGGAGGGCCTTGGGGGTGGTGGGAAGGGGTCAGATTTGAGGCTGAGTGCCTGGGACAACCGTTGATGGTGGTCATACCTTACAACTGTGTCCTGGGGTGTCCCCACATGGGTCCTGCAGTGACTGCAGAGACAGTCCTGAGGGAGAGCTGGGGTGCTGGGTGTGGAAGAGGTTACATGGAAAACTGGCCTGAGTCCTGGGGCTGGACTTCACTCTCCAGGACTCAGAGCAGCAGTTCGCATTTGCTGAGTCCCTGCTCTGAGCCAAATAGCAGTGTTTTACTGCATGATCTTCTGTAGTCTTTCCTTGGTGCTGTGAGGCGGAAATTACATGTTTCCACTTATTAGATGGGGATCCGGTAACTGAGGGTGTTTAGCAGGGTCCTGGGGCCCAGAAGGACTCTGTCAGGTGCTTTGTTGAGTCAGGTGGACCTCTGTCCCTCCTATCCGCACCATGGGAAGGAATGTGTGTGGGAGTGGGGTACAGGCTGTGGGCACCCACGTTCACAGAGAAAGTCAGCATTGTTACTCACCTGTGGCTGGCTCCAAAGTGGCACGTTCCTGGGAAGATGGGAGGTTATTCCTAGCCCACATGACCAGGGAAGGACGGAGAAAGGGAATGGCCAGCCAGAGTTGCTGACCTCCAGAAAGCAGCTCCTGCTGTTACCAACTCCAAGCTGGGGGAGGCAGGAGGGGTCTTCGGAGCGCAAGGCCCTCATTTGTTTCCTCCACGTGTGTCAGCAGGCCAGGTGAGGGTGGCTCCAGGAGAGCAGCCCTGTGATGAGTCTGTAGGAATGTCAGCACATGAAGCAGGCGCTCGCCCGGTTTCCCTGGCTGGGAGCACCTCATTACCTCATTACCAGGGGCACAGGCCAGCAGCAGCCCCCCACACACACTGAGAGTATGTCCAGCCCAGCTGGAGGTGAGCGTGGGTCCAGTGCTGAGGAGGAAGTGGGACTTGGCAGCTGGCAAGAATGGCGAGTGCTCTCGGAGGGGCAGAGTGCAGCAGCAGAGGTTGTTTCATTTCGGTTTTTTGGTGAGGATTGAGTTCAAAGCCTTCATACGGAGCTACATGTCCAGCTCTCAACATTATGAATCTTTTTTCAGTCTTTAAACTTTTTTAAAATCTTTTATTTTATTTATTTGGTACAAGGTCTCACTACACAGCTCAGACTCACAGTGATCCTCCTGTCTCAACCTACCTAGTGCTGAGATTTCAGGTGCGCATCGCCACCCCTGGGTTCTGGGGCTAGCAGAGCGTGCAGTACTGGGGATCAAACCCAGGTCCTTGTGTTTGCCAGGCAGGTGCCTAGACCACCAAGCTATCTCCCCAGACCCTGATTATTTAATTTTTAAAATGCGTTAAATGTTTGAGATAGGGTCTCACCAAGTCAGAGTTGTCCAGGCTGGGCTTCAGCTTGTGATCCTCCTGCCCCAGCCTCCTAGAGGCAGGACAGTGAGGACCAGAGTAGCAGAGCAGAGAGGAAGACGTAGGAGAGGCCTGGGGCTGGAGTATGGGAAGAGGCAGGGCTTGGCCTGTCCCTGCCAAGGGCAGTGCTGGCCTCTGGGGGCAGCCTACTGACCACCCTGCCGGCACCCTCAAAGGGGACTGCCTTGGCTTGCACATCCCTGTGCTGTCTCTTCAGATTCCATAGAGCTTTGCTGAGATGAGTTAGGTGCTTTCTCTAATAACCCCTTGCCTTTTTTCCTCTATAATTTTTTAGTTCCTCATGTAAAATAATCAAGACATTTTTCCTGGCCAGAGGTAACGCCAGGCACTGGCTTGGTGCGTGGCCTTCTACACCTTTGCTTCTGTTTGTACACGCAAGTGTTTTTACCTCTGAATAAAGTGTTGCTTGTGTAGGATCCCTTCCCCCATGCTTCTTCCTGCCCTTTTCGCCCCACAGCCTATGCTGGGCAGCTAGAGAGCATGTATAGCTCCCTGCACTCATTTGAAAGACTGGAGGGCCGGCCAGATAGATCAGCTGATTAAAGTGCCTACTTTGGCAGATGCAGGGACCAGGGTTCAATTCTGGCTCCACATGCTGTGCTGGCCCTGCCCCCGGGGCATGCTGAGACTGGGATTGAGACTGGGCATAGTGGCGTGCACCTGTAATCCCAGTGTTTGGGAGGCTGAAAACAGGAGGATCACTATGAGTCCGATCTGTGTAGTGAGAACCTGTAGACCCTCTACCAAATACATTAAAAAAAAAAAAAAAAAAAAGGAAAGAAAGACTGAGATTCATCATAGTGGACCCCGTGGGTTTTGCATAGCCACCCCCTATAGATGGACAGGTTGGTCGTTTTCTGCTCTTAGGAACAATGTGGTCCTGAACCTCCCTTACAAGCTCATGGGGCACATGTGCAAAAAGTTGGCCCACTTTAAATGTTAGCAGATGCTGCCCTGATGCCTGCAAGCCCACCTGGGCTCCCCTCTGCCTTGGGAGGCCCTTAGCAGTGCATTCCTTGCCAGTACTTGCAAACATTCTGCATTTTTGCCTATGTGATGATTACATAAGTAGCATCTTGTTTAAAGTCTGACCCTTCTTTCTTTCATTTATTCAAACGATATCAAGCTCCTCATATGAGCTAGAAACTGTGGTCAGTAGTAGAGATGCAGTGATAACCACAGGGGTCCCTGGCTTTCTTCACAAAGTGTGAGATACAAGGAAGACCAGAGACCAAGATCACCTCCTGGGGTCACCCAGCAAGGGAAGGGGGTCTGGGAATTGGATCAGTGTTGTGGGGAGTTGAGGGACTTTTCCTTTGAATCCTGCCTCAGTCAGGGTCTGTGCCTTTTTCCCTGACTGCTTCCCCGGCCCCACCCGTCCCAGGACCCTTAGTGACCCTTGGTGACCGTGGGCCAAACTGAGTTTCACTTTCCAGATCCTACACCACCTCCACTACCCCACCTAAGTTAAAGCCTTCGACTTTTAAGAGAGGTCCCCTTCAGAACTGTGAAGTGGGCGTGTGCACCGAGTCTCTACAAGGAACATGATGATATACTACAAGCATGCACAAAAATATACTTTCAGAGGGGGAGAGAGAGACAGGCAGTGGGAGGGAGGGGAAGGGGATTAAAAAGCTGTGTTATACACATGTACCAACTCCCCATGATGAATGTAATCATTATGTATTACAAACATGGACCAACTGAAATAAAAATAGGTTGCCTTTCATAATCAGACTCTCTTGGTGGCTGAGATTCTTGTTTTTTCATTTTTTTAAATTTGGGGTTCTAGTAGCCTGCCCCCACACCCAACCCCACCCCCACCCCCACCCCACTCTCATCCCGTCTCAGGCTGAGCGCATGAATGAATCTTTTTCCTGTCATGTTTGGAGAGGGTGAGTTCTGTGAGTGCTGATCTGTGTGCATCTGTGTGCATGTCTAGACAAGGGTGTGCATGTGTGTGTGCGTGCGCACGCGCACACGCATGCGTGCATCAGGTCCATATGTGAACGGAGGTGTCTGACTGGATTTGAGCCCCTTTGTCTGAGATATTGGCTTTTGGGAAACATGGGCTTAAAGATCTGTAAACCACACGTGTCTGCTCCACCTGCTTCTTTCTCTGAGGCACAAACTATGTCTCTATAGAGGTCTCCTACCTCCAGGGATCTTATCACAGCAGGATATGGCCCAGAGGAGGTTTTTGGTGAGTTAACACCCTCATAAGGTTCCACATAGGAATGTCTCCGCTCCCTGTCACTTCTGTTTTTCTAGGCCCCAAATATATGACACCAGCCCTTGTGCTAGAATACACTTGGAATCCCAGCACATAGGAGGCTGGGATTGTGGAGACTTTGAGGCCAGCCTGGGCTACACAGTGAGTTCAAGGACCACCTGAATTACAGGGAGACGCAAAACATCAAACCAAGCACAACCAAAAACAAAAAAACCCATGTGACACCTTTATTAGGGAAATTGAAATACTAACTCAAGATTAGTCTTCCAGGGTACAAGCTTTAATCCTTGTTGCATAGAAATCACCATGGTAACATGTTCCTGGACTTCATCCTGGCATACTGTGATGGCCTTTCTCCTTAGGGTAAAACTGACACAGGAATGATCCAGAAAGTGCTGTCTCATCAGTTGTATTTTCGCCCTAAAGGACAAAGGAATGGGAAAGGGACCTTTAATAGCTAAGTACTGCCTGACATCACTGAATTCCATCCTTTACTTAACTGCTCATTTGTAATTGAATGTGGATATCAAGAGGTAGAGCTTAGACTACCATTGAGGTCTTTTTGACATGTGAATCCATCCATCATCCTTCTATTTATCATCTGCCCATTCATTAGTTCACTCATTCTATTCATCCAGCTTTGTGTTCTCTCCTGTCCTACTGTAATAGGTCTTCCATGTAGTCCATTCAGTTGCTCTAACTAGCCAGCCATAGGCAACCAGCTCATCTATCCACTGATATCCTCCCAGCTTTATTTATCTAACCATATGATCAGTTGTGTCTAGCCAGCCAATATATCAGTTCAATCCATTCATCCAAGTGTCACATCCAAATAATGAATCACATCCACACAACTTTCCTGTCATCCCACCAGTGCATCTATCCATCCCTTCTGTTACTTAGCCATCTAGCTAGCCAGCCTTCTAGCAAAGTATTGATCCACTCACCCTCTGCCCCCCTATCAGTCTATCCTATATAGTCAAAGACCCAGTGTGTTGGGTGTTCAACCCGCTGTTTACACTGGTTTTTCTATCCTCACCAGTGGTTCCTGGTACCTGGTGTCCCCCTCCCTGCCTCCAAGCCCCAAGTGGACTGTTTTCCCTTTCTCTGGGCCCAGAACCTCCCCACCTGCTGGAATAGTACCTGAGCTTCGCCTCTTTGATCTGTATCTCCTTGTGCTCCTCCTGGTCACTTTTCTTTTTACCTTCCTTGTCAACGTCTTCTTTCTGTTGCTGGAGCCCTTGTGGTGGAACTTGCGCCCAGCAGGAGCATGGCGGGATTGCATGGGTGGTCTGTGGTGCCGGGGTGATGGGCTGGCACTGGAGCTGGGCCTGGGGCTGGGGCTGGGCCTGGGCCTGGGCCTGGCACTGGAGCTGGGCCTGGGGCTGGTACTGGGGCTGGGCCTGGGCCTGGCACTGGAGCTGGGCCTGGGGCTGGTACTGGGGCTGGGGCTGGGCCTGGGCCTGGCACTGGAGCTGGGCCTGGGGCTGGTACTGGGGCTGGGGCTGGGCCTGGATCTGGGCCTGGGGCTGGGGCTGGGCCTGGGGCTGGGTCTGGGGATGGGGCTCCGGCTCAGGGGGCCAGGCGTGCTGTGGTGGCTGGGCAGGTTCTGGCTGCAGCCCTGGCACTGGTGGCTGCAGTTGCACTGGCTGCAGGTGTGACTCTGAGGCTGAGAGGTGCTATGGAGCTGGAGGTTAGTGGTGGGAAGGCTTGGCATCTTGGTATCTCTGGAGGCCACACCTGGAGATGCCTCCTTTCCCAGCTGGCCCAGCTTCACAGGGGCCCCACAGCCTCTGTTTATATAGTCAGGCTGATTGTGATGGCACAGGCCACATAGGTAACAGATGTGACTGGTAGGGATGAAGCTCCAGCCCTTTCTTCTCAGCCCCAGGGTGGGGCAGCTTCCAGGGGCATTTTGGGATTGTCTTTTCCATCTGCTGGTTAGTTAAGCATTGAAGCCCCTGGGTCTGAGGAAGCCAAGTCTATACCCCACATCTGCCTCTTATTCACAGCCCTGGGCACTTACCTTTCCAAGCCCCAAGCTCCCCTTCTTTGTAGGCTGGAAACAATTTCACCCATTTCATGGGACATTGGGAGAATTAATGGAAAGAATCTAAACAAGCAGTTCACTCAGGCCCATCTCAGAATCAGGAGCTCAGTAGACACCAGCTACACCATTATCTGCTCTTCTTCTTTTCCATCAGGGACGTCAGTGGGTGGTGGGTGGTGGGTGGTGGGTGGAAGCTGGACGCTTTGTGCCCACCAAGGTAGGTGGTGAGCAGACAGGGAACAGGCTGGATGGCTTATCAGATGAATGGCAGGAGTAACTGCATGGCTGATGAGCAGTCCTGGAAGATTTCAAGTCTAGGGGCTCAAAGTCAGGCTCAAGTCTCTGTTTGTACTGTTATCTAATCCAGGATGGGTTGCCATAGTTACCAAGGTTTGGTTTCCTTGTATGGCAAAGGGGCATCTTTCCTACTTCTGCAGCATTCTGGTAAACCTATAATGCCAGACAGTTCCCAGGAGGCTTTGAGTCCCTCTGTCTCCTCACTCCATCATCGCTTCTCATGAAGTCCTCCTGTGCAGTTCAGTTCCTGATGGCCCTGCTCAGACACCCTAGCACTTCAGGAAAGCCTGGTCATTTGCTGGAACCTGAGGCCATTTGCCCAACTTGGTCTTTTAGGAAGTCCATCCAGAACCACTTCCATCCTTCAGCATAGACATTGGCCCCTCAGACTTCTGCAGTCCCTGATTCCATGGCCCTCACTGCCCTTTCTGAAACTCTGAGCCCATTTCACACTCTGCTGCCTGAGTGTAACTTTGCGTCTCGCCATGTGTGTTTACTATGTCAAGCTTGTACAAGTCTGTTTCTAAATAAACATGTTGAGTCTACAATGGAAATCACATTTAATGAGCCCTTCCTGGTCACTGGGATGGTCACACTTTGCAGGCAGCTTTGTCCAGGAGAGTCACTGACACTGTGGTGTAGGATGAACAGTGGCCCCAGTCTGTGCCCATATAATCCCTGGAATCTGCCAGCATGACCCTGTTTGGATGGAGTTTTTACTGATGTAATTTAGCTTAAGAGTCTTGAGCCATTTCTGGGTCATTGGGTGACCCATGAACAAATGTCCTTATATAGGATGGAAGTCATGACATAAGAAAGCCACACACATAGGAGACAGAGGGTAGAGTTCTGTAGCCACCAGCCAAGCCCCTCCTGCAGCCCCTGAGAACTGGAAGAGACAAGAATGCCTCTCCTCGGAGTGAGGAGCAGCATCCTTTGGACCCCTTGATTACATAATTTTATTGTTCAGATTTTTTGAGACAAGGTCTCACTATATAATTGAGGCTGGCCTTGAATTCACTATGTAGTCCAGTCTGGCCTTGAACTCATGGAATCCTCCTGCCTCAGCCTCCCAAGTACTGGGATTACAGGTGTGTGCCACCACACTCAGCCAATTCCAGACTTTTAACTGGTGTTTCAGATGTGACACAACAGCACTGTGAGACTTAAGCACCCCATAAGGTGGGTACAGTGATTGTCCTCCCAAAGGAGCAGGCTCACAGGGGTTAAGTAACCAGCCTAGAGTCCCAGAGCACAACAATAGCAGATCTATATTCAGATCTGAGTCCCACTGGCCCTTGCAGTCACTGTGACTAGCTGGGGTCACAGAGGGCATGTAGACTTTTGCTCTGCTGATCCTGCCAGGTGGGGAGCTCTGCGGGTCTCTTGTGGGAAGTGCACTGGGCCACACTGTGAAGGCTTTCTGGCCCTCTGGCCCTCTCCATGGCCCCTGCCTCTCCTGCTGATCCCCTCCTCCAGCTATGTAGTCCAGCTCCTCTTCCCCAGCACCTCTCCAGCTGCCACTATGGGCTGCCCAGCAGAATGGGACCTGCGTCTTTCCATCAGAGCCCTGGGGGCTAGCATGGCTGGACGAATGAGCAGGCAGGTGGGCTTAAGGGACTTGGACTAGAGAATGAGACTGACCAGCCAGGGTCACTTGTTATAGGGATGATGTGGAGCTGATAGGACAACAGCCCCTCTACCTTCCCTGCCACCACACCCACAGGCCACAGCCCAAGCACCCCAGCCCTCAGCCTGCCTTTACTGCCCACCCCACCACTCTACCGAGTCCTCCTGGGGCCACATGGTTGGTGCTTGGGGATTGTGAGGAAACAAGCAGACCCCCTGGTCATTTCCTTTGGGCAGGCGGAGTATGGAAGCGGGGGCAGATGCGCAGCAGACACGGATAGCTTCTTGATGAACCTTGGCGAGAGGGCCAGAGCCTGGCTGTCCGATGCATTCAGTGAACTGGTGGGTGGCAGGCAGGAATGAGCCTTTACGTGGGCACAGAGGACCCCTGTATGTGGAAGGACTAGCTGAGAAGCCAGGCCTACTTGAAGTGGATGAAACCTGCAGGAGCCCTGGTTAGACACTGTCCATGTTAGTGTGGTCCTACTGGCATCTTGCTTAATGCCCCACCATGGCCATGGGTTTGAGGAGCCTTGTGCAAGCAGGAGGGGCAGGCAGCAGCTCAGAGGCAGTGACTTGCTCAAGGTCTTGGGCCAGCAGAAAAAAAAATTGGAGCCCAGGTGTGCTGCCCTGCCCAAGCCAGAACTGTTCAAGAAACCTGTGCTTGTGCTTGGAGGAGCAGAACAGGGTCCCTCTGGGTGCTCTGGCCTGAATCTGCAGACCCAGTTTGGAGAAGGGATAGATGAGATGACTGGGTATCAGTATAACTTAGTAATTACTTTTTGAGATAGTATTTGTACATCTTCATGGGGTATCATATGGTAATTCGATATATGTATGTGATGTATAAAAATCAAATCCAAGTAACATTTCCCTTCGGATTTAATCATTTTTATGTATTGAGAGCATTGTATTCTTAATCTCTAGTCACCTTACAGTACAACATAAGGTGCTTTAACAAGCAGTTACCCTGTTAGACCAGGCTTTCCAGACCAGTGACGCCCCCCTCCCACCTCCTGCAGCAGGGAGGATCAGAAACAAGGCCACTGTCCCCACCCGCTCGGCCTCACACCTACCCTGGCACACTCACATCGCGCACGTCTAGTACAGGAAGGAACACCAGAGAGGAGGGTTCCTTGGAGACTTTTTATTGACTCTTTTCTGAAAGTTCTCGTTGGGATGGTGGCAGCACTCCTCACTAGGATGTTGTTGTGGGTCAGGAGTGCGTCTGCTCGGACTCAGGGCCCTGCTGGTCTTCAGGCTTGTCCTCGGCATTCTCCTGTCCAGGCTCCATCAACAATAGTTTGCCCTTCACTGGAAGCTGCTCCTCCTCCTCTTCATCCTCTTCCTCTTCCTCCTCTTCCTCCTCTTCTTCCTCCTCCTCCTCCTCTTCTTCCTCTGATGACAAGGAGAAGTTATCCTGACTCACACAGGCCAGGAGCTTCTTCATGGTGGATTCATGGCCCCTTCCATGGCCCCTGCTGTGGCTCGTGCTGTGGCCAGTGCCATGGCCCGTGCTGAGCTTGGTGCAGCGGGAACCCATTGCTCTCCTTGGCTCTCTCCAGACTAGGACTAGGAGGGGAGGTAGCTGAGAGGAGCACAGGGCTTTGAAGGCGGGGCATGGGTGCTGACATCACAAAGGGATCCTGAAGCCCCTCCCACAATCACCCCAGCCCCTCCCCCACTGGCCTGATCTGTCCAGGGGAAGTCCTCCCTTTAACTGGAATGAGACTTGAGGTTAGAATTTCTGGAAGCAGGGGGCATGTCTCAGAAATGCCCAGCAGAGAGCTGCTGATAGTTTGTAAAGATGGGGTCAGAGTAGTGGTTGCCTTAGGGTAGAGGCACAAGGGGGCCTCCAGATGGGGCAGGAATGATGGGTTTCTTGGCCTGCTTGCACTTTCCTTTGAGTTGTACGTAATGACCCCTTGCGGGACTGGGATGCGGTGCTTTGCACATACAATGCCCTGGCCTTATCCCCAGTGCTCCTGAGAGTGTGATCCAACATCCTGAAAGGCAGCAGCAGTGCCTAAGCACTGGGGGGATGCTCTTAGAGCATGAAGGGAGGTGTCCCTTGGCAACCTGTGTCCACACATGATTTCACACAGGATGGTGTGGGAAGAGCTAGGATCCCTGTCGTAAGAGCAGTTGGCCATTAATGAGCGCTAGAAATCCATTTAGAACAGGTCTTGCTGATGTCCTTCCTTAGTGACTCCTACAGGGTTCCAAAAAATGAAATGGGAGAGATGATCCAGATCATGTCCCCCTGGAAGGCGTTACACAGGGGACAGCCACCACAAGCCAGAACCTCGCACCTGACATAGGCTCACCCAACATGGCCCCCTACCCCTTGCCTTGTGCTCTCCTTGCTTGGAGGACCTCAGACCTGCCTCCCCCAGGGCTGCTCCCAACTGGTTGATAAAGATGGCTTTTCACTGTCCCATTTCAGGGGGCAGGTGAGCAAGTGAATGTAGCCTCTGGCATGGTGAGGGAACATATGACAGAACAGCACTGCAAGCCACTGCCTACGAACCCCTGTCCTCCCAGACCTGTCCTCCCAGCAGGCACACTGCCCACACAAAGGAGACCCCATAGCCAGTGAGTTCTTTGTCAAGCTTTATTTGGCAGGTGACTGTGCTCATTACTCAGATCTTGTGGGGTCCTTGGAAACTCAGGGTTTAGGCGTCAACGGAGGGGTGTTAAGGCATGTGCTGTTGCTTGGGCAGGTGACTTCTGTAGCTTCCAGAAGGGCCTGGGAAGGTTTAGTGGTACCTCCTGCATCTCCTCCTCCTCCTTCTGCAGGCTTTGGGAGAGAAAAGTTCATTTGGGGTCATGTGGGAGGCCCAGACAGCAGTGGAACCCCTGCCTCCCACCTGCCCTGCTGCACAGCAGCACAGGTACAAAGGGCCTGGGGTTGAGGGGGCAGGGCTCAGGCCAACCTCGGCGACGTCGCCTCCTGCAGCTGCGTCTCCTGCGCCTCCGGCAGGATCTGCCCCGCCGCCTGTGGATGCGGTATAGCCTCCTCCGAGAACAGCGCCTGCGCCTGTGGTAGCGGCCTCTGTATGTCCTCCCGTAGGCCTCCACGCGCTCTGAACTCAGCCCCTGCCCCTGCTCCTGGCCCTCACCAGACTCCTGGCTGTGTGCCTGGAGCCGGTGCTCGCTGGGGCTCCTCGCTCGGCAGCGGACCATCGTGCTGGGAGATGGGGAGATAGGTGGCTCTGGGCTGAGGCTGCAGCTGACCTGGGAGGAGGGCTGAGGCTGCCCACCTGCTCTTGCTGTTGGTTGGTCTGGTTGGTGGGGTGCTCAGGGCCCATTTATAAAGGGGCCCCCCACTATGACCTGGCAGCCCATCCCATGATTGTCCCCACTCTGCCCAGGACCCTCTGTGAGGGCAGCACAGGTCAGGAGCTACAGTCCTAGCCCAGAGGACCTGGCCTTGCCTGTAGTGTGTCCCCAGACCCTGGTAGTAGGTGGGACCCTCAGTCAGAAGAAGGAAGCTTATTGTCCACACCCAATTCTCATCCTGCCCAGTGGTGGGAATTCATAAGTAGTTATTCTAGAAGATCCCCCACTTCTAGAAGATCCCATGGTCAACTCTTTTGCATGATCCCAAGTGTGGAGAATGTCTTCATACCTGGGCGTACTTTGTAGCATTTGTCCCTTTGTACTGTGATGATCCATTGAGAACCAGAAGCAGAGTCATGGCAACTGAAACCTAGTCTCTCTCTCTTGGGGTGGGGGATGTTGTCCTGGTTTCTCTTTTGTGGCTAGAAGGGGGGACATGGCTGACAGCGCCTCCTCCCACGGTGCCTCCATCCTAATCCACGAACCTGTGGGCACGTTACCTTCCATTTGCAAAAAGGACTTTGCAGGTATGACTAAGGATCTTACCACTTGGGTGGGTCCTGTGCAATCACAAAGGTCCTTACGAGAGGAGGAGAAACCCAGGAAGAAATATGAAGAGGCTGCAGTGCTGGCCTGGAGGACGGCACTCTAGATGCTACAGAGGCCAGAAAACAGGTTCACACCATGACGCCTTGATTTAGTCCCCAAGACCCATTCGGGCTTCCGCCTGCAGAACTGTGAGATAATAAACTTGTGTTACTTCAAGCTGTTTGAGTTTACATGCTGCTCCCTCTCAGGACCAAGGAACTTTATAGGGGTGCCCAGTCTCCCCTCAGGCAATTGGTAAAGATAGGAATGCCCAGCTAGGTTCACCTTTCCATGGCTAGATACATGATCAGAAAAAAAAAAGTCCCACAAAAGTCAGCCCAGGGTCTGCCCACCTGCAGGGCTGTCCTCCTCCTCCTCCTCCTCCTCCTCCTCCTCCTCCTCCTCCTCCTCCTCCTCCTCCTCCTCCTCAGTTCAGGAAGGCCTTGCCTGGGGGGGGGGGAAGGTACCAAGAGTCCTGATGGAGCCAGCCTCTGTGGGCACCGGTGTACTCACTTGGGGATGCGGCCTGCTGGCCCCTGCCTCGAGGGCTGCTGAGGACCAAAGGCCTGGTGCATGCTGAGCTCCATGAGCAGCAGTTGGAGACCTCTGGTGCCACTAGGTCTGATCTTCAGGAACTGGTCCTGGATCTCTCTCTAATCACTGATAAAATCCCTGGCTTGCTTAGTGCCACAAAAGGACTGTGACACAGGGTCTGTGCCAGGTCTGAACTGGGCTTTCCTAGCCCATAACTAGGCCCATTAGCCTGGAGTCCTAGTGGGCTTTCTTACCTCCAGTCCCAACCATCTTGTGCTACATACCCAATGTCACCAGGATTCTCCCAGGCTCCCCACTGGAGCGTGACTGCAGACGTGTCCTGTAGGTCAGGCAGCTCACAGGTGAGTTCATTTCATGGACACATTGCTCAACTCCCTTCGGGTACCTGAGGACTGAGTAGGAAGGGCAGCTCCCCTGCTGCCTGGCCAACTTCCTGCTCCCAAATGGGGATACAAACTTACAGTTGAGGGCTGCTGAATGAAAATCTTTGAGATCCATGATTCTGCTAACCTCTGTATAACCAAAGGAACCAAGATTTTACCTTTGAATTAAACCTGTCTGGCACTTTTGGCTATTAAGGAGCACCAAGCTGGCAGAGGTGCAACAGACCCCGGAGGCCCTTCTGATGCTGCTGGTATAATGGCCTATTGCCAGGTGCTGACCACAGGGCAGAGCAGCACAACAGTGGCCCTCAGGTGCGCATGACCCAGCACCAGGGGCGGAGTAGGTAGTTTAGGGGGCAGATTTTCCTCATATCGCGTCACTGTGTTAAAGACAGAATCCCTCGTGACAACTGTCACTTACATCCCCCCTTCCCAGCATCCTCTGTGCCATCCTCAGGCCCTTCCACCACCAGGCCAACCCTCTCCCCTGAGCCATTGAGGACAACAAGGTATGAGTGGGATGATTTTAACATTTATTGACAGGCGGCATTGTTCCTTAGCAGGCTCCTGTTTCAGTGCAAGGTGACATTGTCAAGAGGTGGCAAGACGGTGTTGTGGTCTGGTAGTTTGTGGCAGGAGTTCAGTGGACTTGCTCTTCTGCTCTTCCGCCATCAGTGTCTGCGGCACCTGCGGGTGTACCTGCGGCGGCAGCAGCCTAGGGGCACAAGAGGCATTGAGAGACCATCACAGCCCCATGGAGCCCCAGCCCCACCCCAGCAGCAGCCTCTCTTACGTCTCTGTCTCCGATGGCACCGCCTCCTTCGTCTATGGCATCTCCGTCTACGGCGGCGGCATCTGCTCCGGCTTGGGCTGCGGCAGCATCTGTATCTGGCCATGGCACTAGATGAACTTGGCCTGGGCTTGGCTCAGAACAGGGGCACCACCTCGGCTGAGCCAGCCAACCTGTGAGCAGGTGGAAATTTGTGGGCTGTGAGCCAGGGCCGAGGCCTGGGCCTCTTATAGACCCTGGACATTGTGAGGTCAAAGTGGCCAGCACCTCACAGGTGATGACCAGAGCCACTTTATGTCCATATATGGGCATATCAGGGGTGAGTGCAGCCTTGGCACATGGGAGCCTCCGTGTCACAGCCACTGTATGACACAGTTAGGTGGCCATGCCTGGGGAGGCCCAGGTTACAACATGGGCTTCCTTCCAAGCTCACATGGTGGTCTGAATGTCACCAGAGTGTTTTAGAGGGTGGCAGTTATTTAGCAATTTACAATATAACCAAGCAGCAAAATAGTGTGAAGAAGCACATTTTCCTTCAGAAGCTAGAGGTTGTAGGAGCTGGATGGCGTGATCGGTGACATCCGCCAACTCTCCTGCAGTGATTCTGAAGATGCTTATAGAGGCAATGGGGCAAACAGCAGAGCGGGTGGCAGGCAATGGCACCAAAGGGCCTGTCTGGGTGGTGGGGAGTTGTGTGGCCTTTGAAACTGTTCTGAGGCACTGGAATCATTTAAAAATAAAGTTTAAAAAAGCAAAGAGGAAGGCCAGCCAGGAATAATGTGGGGGAGTCCTGAGCAGAGACCCAAGCTGCGTCTTTCAGCTCCGCCTTCAAATGATTTTCATCCTCAAAGTTGCCTCATAGACCGGAATCAAGACTGCTTCAGACAGTTGTGCAGCTGTGTACTACTCAAAACTGCCAGCCAGGGCATTAACATAGGGAACAAAATATAGGCCCCCGGTCAGTTTGCTAAGCCAGGCCCCACACTCTTAGGGATACTTCTGCTTACAAGAGCTTTTTCTAATTCAATTGTTCACTGCCATGGAACGAAGCCCCACTGGGGTGGCCAGGGCCTGCTGGAAGCTCGGCCCCACTAGCCAGTGCACACAGCAGGAGGAAGGGGAGTGAAGGAGGCACTACAACTTCCCTGAACATCATTTGCCTCCCGGCAGAGCACATTGGCCCTTGGGGTAGAGAAGGACTCTGAGTAAGGAGAAGGGAGGACCCTGGGCAGGACACCTCAGAGAGGTGGCCAGCCAGCTTTCAGCCCACACAGCAGGGGAAGCCTCGGCTCATGCCTAGATCAGCCTTAAAATGGTCCCTGCCCCCTACTGCATGCTGCTTTTAAAACCCGATAAGGTCTCAGAGGAACCACAGACCACCAAGACTGGCCTCCCCCTGCTTGAAGACACGAACCGGAGGCACAGGGCTGGGCTCATTCTTTCTGCCACACCCCAGGTCCCCTCCTAAGCACATGGGCAAGAGGTGAGCAGCCCTGCCCACAGAGTTCACTGTCTAGTTAGGTGGGCAACTCATGAAGATATTTAGAAATAGGCACAGATGTAAAAGAAAAATCGATGGCCGTGACTCATCCACATGGCTGCACTGACAAAGGTTCTACAATCTGAGGTACAGGATCTCAGGATAAATCCTGAGGGGATTTCACTCACCTTCTCAGACCAAAAAGCTACAACTCTTATTGCACAGGTCCTGCTTTACCTTGGTCTTAACCATCCAGTAGAAAAGTATGAAGACGAAATATAGGAAGTAAAGCCATGCTGTTATGTTGAGCTGTGGGGGACTCAGGTCAATAATTTCTGACATTGCCAGTTAAACAGTAGACCCAATGCTATTATGGGCTACTGGTCTCTTTTAGAATATTTTGCTGAGTTTACACACCTATAATATTCAATAATGGAACTTAGAAAAAATAAGGTATACAGATGAATGTCCATTTTGTATCTGTGTATTCAAAGTGGTTAGGATAGATATATAGTTACATTCTCTTAATGAATAGAATGATTTGTTCTAATGGTGTTTGTAAATAGGATCTCAAGTCCGCATCTTGTACAACAATTAACCACTAAGAAGAATATATGCAGTGTGTTACTTGTTGAAACTGTATTTCCGATTTGGTTTGAAACTGTCTTATTGCTGTTTATCAATAAAATTTTGGAAAAAAAAGAAAAGAAAAGAAAAATCGAGTCATGTGCTAGGCAAAGTGGCACAGGCTTGTAATTTCAGCTACTCCGGAGGCTGAGGGAGGACAACCACACTTTTGAGGCCAGTGAATCCCTGTTTCAGAAAATAAGGGCTGGAGTTATAGCTCAGGCAAAAACTGTGGGTTCACTCCCCAGTGCCACACGTGTGTGCTGTGCACAAAGACTTGATATGACAAAGAATGTCACCATAGAGTAGTTTGGAGATGACTTGAGGCCAGAACTGAGTGGTGATGAGCTATGGGGGCCGGCCCCTGTTTGCGGTGTGTAGCATGTCCCTGATGGGGAGAGAGCCACTGGCTCTGCCCTTTACTGCTGTGTGGGGACCACAGTTTCCAGTGTGTCCTGAATAGCCACTGCCCATCCGAGGTACGAGGCTAGAGGAGCACTTCTATTAGGCCACCATGGCCAAGTGACTCTTTCTATTCCCATGTGATTGGTCATGTGACAGTCCACCATGGGAGAGGATTGTGACCCTGGTACGTGACTCTGGCATATGCAGCTATTACTCTGGGAAGGGGACAGGGGGCCATTGGGGAACTGGTAGAACTAGGGGGTGGGGAGGCGGCTGTGAGGAAATGTGAGCTGCCACTGACAGAGCGACTTCTGGTTTGAAGACTGGAGGGACAGCAGGTGCAGAAAAAGCTTAGGACAGAGGGTGGTATGGTCACAGTGGAGGACTGAGTCTTGGCAGAGGAAATGGGCATTGACCAGATGGCCGCAGAGGAAGCCCTCAGGCCATATGGTGTTCATGGCCCACCCAGGCTGATCAGCTCGACTTGGCCGTCTCTGGAGTAAACGGTGGGGTTTGCTAGAACAGCTGGCTTTCACCCTAATTAATGCTGCCCTGGTCCCCACCAGGTATTTACTACTTTTCTCCCCTGCCATAGGAAGGCACAGGTCAGGACCTGTGTTGCTGCCAGTGTGTTCTGCACTAGCACAATGACCACTACACAAAGGAACACAAATGTCTGGTATGGGGATAACTGGGATATTTTGTATGACCAAGTGCTCTTCCTGTCATTTCCCCAGTCTAATCCTAGTATCATACAATTTTTAAATGACCCATAGCCTCTTCCTGTGGCTGTCCCAGCATAGTGCTCCTGCCACCTCCCACACACTGAATCCCATGAGGATTCCCGGGCTGTCCCCTGGGGTCCTGGCTGGGCCATCACACAGTGCATCCCCGCCCCACCTGTGTGATGTTACAGTAGCTACCCCCTGGCCATGGTGGTCCAGGAGTGACATCACCAGACAGAGCTAGGCAGGGACAGGGACATATGCTCCCTGGGCCTTCAGGAAGGGTGAAGGCGCTAGTGCTCAGATGATGAGAGGACATTTTCCAATAAGGTGACAGCATTTTCATTGTTCCCTTGCACTCATGGGCTAGGTTTGTCCCTTACAGGTTCACATAGGTATGACCAGGGCAGTGCTGGGGGTGGGATTGGAAATAACACAGACCTCATGGAAATAGCCATGGTCTTCAGGGGACCATGAAGGGTGGCAGGGACTGTGAGGGAAGAGCCCTGGCGTGCTGGTACTGAGTCATGACGTGTAGGTAGCTCTCTGTGTTTGTCACACGTGTATGGGGGGGGGAGTCTAGTGTGTACTACATTCTTAACAGCAGGCAAGGGCTCACTTGCCACTTCATTCCTCTATATTATTGGAAAATTTCCACTGGGTAAGGGCCAACATACACTGCTGAGTGTTGAGGGAGAAGGATGGAAGATGACAATGGTCAGAACAGTTCCCAAGCACCTTTGTTATATATATATATATATATATATATATATATATATATATATATATAATTTTTTCTGGATACAGGATCTTGCTATACAGTTCTGACTCGTAGTGATCCTCCTGTCTCAGCCTCCCCAGAGCTGGGATTATAGTGTGCACCAGCACCCCTGGTTTCAGGGCCAGCATGGTATGTGGTACCTGGCATCAAACTTGGGAGGGACCTTGCGCTTGCCAGGCAGATACTTAGACTGCCGAGCTATCTTCCCAGCCCCCATTTGTTGTTGTTGTTGTTGTTTTTGTGAGGTACCAGGGATTGAACGCAGGACCTTTTTATTTTTATTTTTTTGAGACAGGGTCTTACTAAGTTGCTAAGTTACCCAGCCTGGGCTGGCACTCCCTCTCAGACTCCCAGAGTTCTGAGATTACAAGTATAATTTTTCTTTAATAAACTTTTTTTTTTTAATTTAGGGAAGGGTCTACAGGGTGTTCAAGGTCTCACTACTAGATCAGACTGGTAGTGATTCTCCTGTTTACAGCCTCCCAAGTGCTGGGATCATAGGCGTGCACCACCACGCCCGGTCTCAATCACGGCCTCAGATCACCCTGGGGGCGGGGCTGGCACTAATAAACTTGTTAAGGAAAAGATGTGTAGAGTTAGCCCAAGATTTGCCACCTGCTATATGCCATGGTTCCACTTGTGAAGGTTTTTTTGTTTTTTGTTTTTTTTTTAATTAAAGACAGGGTCTTACTGTGTAGTTCAGGTTGGCCTCAAATTCACAGCAATACTCCTGCGTTAGCTTCCTGGGTGCTGAGATTATGGGCACATGCCACCATACCTGGCTCATTTTTTTTTTTTAATACACTTTTTCTTCTGGGAAAAGATGCAGCCAGCCCAGGATGTGCTCTGTGCCTGTCTCCGGTTCCACCGTGGCTAACATCTTCATGTGGCATAGCTGTCATAACTGAGAGACCAGCGGCAGGCTCTTACTGTTGGCTAAGCTGGACTGTATTTGGCTTTCACCAAGTTTTCCATGATGTCATTTCTGTTCCAGGACCCAGGTCAGGATGCCATATCCAGTTTCCCTAGTGCTGTGTTAACATTTGTCATGAGTAACAAAGCCACGCTGTTGTGGCATTCCAGTGCACACTGTGCCCAGTGTTTTCCCAGCGCCTTTTCTCTGTTCCCAGACCCCAGCCTTCCAGCCCACAACTTCAGCAATGAAATAAAGCACTGCT